AGCTGTTAAAATAGACATCCTACATCCGGCTAGGTCATGCGATTCAAATGAAAATGATTATTTTTGAACTAAAGAAAAAAATGTTGGTCGTGCCGAAGTTAAGAATTACTTATAGCATTATAAATGCGCTAAAAATATAATTATTCATAAATCTTACTTGTAAGATTGAGTACTCAGGTGCAGAGTATTTAGCATTACGGAGTTTTTAGCATTATGTTTGAACGCCTTTACGAATATCTTGATGATTTTTCATTGTAGATCTCAACCTTTTAGCCCACCATTCATACAATAGTGATCGCTGTAAGAGGCCAGAGGGCCTCTGTAGTCTGTAATCTGTATTACCCATCCCTATTTGCAACCATTCAGTAAAGTGGTAGAGTATTCTGAGAAAAGCCATCAGCGTTAATTGTGCCAGCTGAAATGCTATATTATTCAGTCTTCATCAAAGGAATATTTCTCAGATATTCACTAAGGTACCCTCTAATGACCTCAATATAATCGGGATGGTAGGAACTGTCGAGATTGAAATCACTCTGACTGTCACTCTGCTTTATATGACTATATGTGGGCATTCTTCAGATCCGGTCATTAATGACTGTCTTTGTGGGGGAAGATCGGGGTTATATATATGTCGCTTCCAATTTTCTGAATTATTAGATTGGAATTGAGGGACGGTGACCGATTCCAAGGGTAGTAGAAATTGTAATGTGGTAAAAATCACTTAAGGAAAGAGAACTAGAAATATCTATACAACTGTGTTCTCGAATATCTTGGTCAGAAAATGTCTTAATATTCTTCAAATCAAAACGAAATTTGTAACTGAGCTCCACGAATAACTTTTTTAAAACGCAAAAATTTAGCTTCTACATACGATGTACATATATGTTCATTGAAAGTTAGAGTGCCAATTAACTTGTGAGGATATTCCAATCCCTTGGACCTTAAACATTCTCCCTGCATCGGTGAATCTGAATCATAATTCATAATTAATAATTATACATGACAAATCCAACCTTACAATTTTAAGACTTCGTCGAGCTCGACCGATTAAGTCTTTAATACAAATTCTTGATCATACATATTGCAAAAATATGTATCTCTGCCTTTAGTTTTACATCAATTATTGCTTCTTATAACCATTATACCCACCTTTACCGATCTGTTAGGTAAACAAGACTGTCCCCCCAAAACCCCCATTTTCTTCCCCACGACATACAACATTAGAAAACAAACACAGTACAAAACGTGTGTGTGATCAGTACACATACGGTGTACCGTGTATAACTCCGGTCACACTCAGAATGAGACCGCCATTTAATCATAGGTATTAAAGACTATATCTCTCTCTCTCTCTCTCTCTCTCTCTCTCTCTCTCTCTCTCTCTCTCTCTCTCTCTCTCTCTCTCTCTCTCTCTCTGTGTGTGCACAGCGGCTGTGTAGTCGAAGTCCGGTGTAACGTCGTGTTCATTGTTTTACTTGCCTTGTAACGTTGAGGATATTGGTTGAACTTTGGAGTACTTTTCTGCCTGAAGTTTGTTTGAACGTGTATTTAACAAACTTTTTGTAAAACGGATGTTTATTTGTTGAGTTACTCTAAGATCTCTCATTATCTACCGTTGGTTAAGATATCCCGATATATATATTATATAAGTTAGTAACGTTTAAACGTTTATCTTCCTTCTAGAAGCATATTCTCCATGGTAACAGTCGCAAATGTTAAGGACGTTACCAAGGTCAGTCCTGTTTAAATTTACAAATACAACCTCGTCACTATAAGTATAATAAGGATATATTTATCTGTCACTGACTGATTTTAGCAGTTAGTTAGTTTTATGAAGGATTAATGAGGAATATTTAGAGGCACACTGTCTGTATAACTGCAATGCTAAAGACTAAATCACCCGTGTTTCACTCGGAAATATCCCGGTTTTATGTGGAAATATCCTGTTTTATGTGGATATATCCTGTTTTATGTGGAAATATCCTGTTTTATGTGGAAATATCCTGTTTCATTTGGAAATATCCTGTTTTATTTGGAAATATGGCGGCTGGTGATGACTAACATGATACCAGGCTCTGTTACTACACATCAAACAGACCAGATGTTATACTCACAATAGGGAGTCAATTATCAGCCTGAATAGCCATCTAGCATCACATTGTATGTACATTATGGACTGTTATTAAGGAATGAAATCCGCTGCAATCAATCCATAATGTTGTTGGTATACACTGCCGTCGTCATGGCACCAGATTACATCCGTTTGACTAGAGGCTTCACTTTATGACTTTAGCTTTCTTTTGTTTGACTTTGAAACTCACCAGCCCGTGAATTTACTGTTCAGTCTGTTATTTGTCCAGCTGTTTCTTATTGTTGAAGGTAATTTCCATGCTGAGGATTTATTGAAATGATGAAATTTTAGATATTTCGTGGCTGTAAAAAAAGTGATCTGAATTTGCTTTCCTCGGTTCGAGCTAACCATTGCAGATGACTTCATTTGCCTCCACGATTCAAGAGCTCATACACACGGAATACACTCCGTTTATACTTTCCTATCCCAACCAATGGCGCCCTGTCTACCCTCCTTCTGCTCCAGACCAACCAATCACAGGCTGCTATTCTGTTAACTGTCCAATCAGAGCAGACTATTCTCGTAATCCAGATCTCTCTTGAGATGCAAATAACGGCCTTTGTTAGGGATCTGGTAAAGTCCATGGACAAATGAACATAGCTCTTTGACTCTCTCTCTTCCAAGATTTCATGTGGTTTTAATGGGGGACGAACAAAGGTCGCGAGGTGTTCAGCATGTTTTAAAGCTTTACAAAAATAGACCTTCACCCAGTAAAATCCTTCTCTGTGACAAAAGATTCTGTCGCCTGTTGTCCCCCCGGCCCCCCCCCCCCCCTCCCCCTGCTACAATGGATTCGTCTGTGATCCCCTGGCGGACATCCTTAAGGACGATTTAAGAACCAAATCTTTATCCACAAACTGTGGAATTTACAGTGTGTTCAGAAGAGATGATGGACTGACGGGCTGTGTACATTGTTGATGAGCCTTGTTACACACACTATTAACCACACTAGCTAGCTAATGGCAATGCACCATTCACCATTATCCATTTATTGTATTGTGACGTCAAACTTTTGGTTTTGAGCCTTCCCCGAGCCTCAGAGGCACATATTAGGTGCGGTAAAAAAATCGAAAAATTGCGGTACCGCACCCGACTATAAAGGTAAAATGTGCGGTAAGGTGCGGTAAATTTTTACCAATTATGCGGCAAATGTGCGACGATTTTTTCGAAATTTGTGCGGGAATTATGCGGTTTTCTTTTGCATTTTCTGAAAGACTTTGGAAATTCTAAACGTATAACCGCCGCTCTTATCAAAAATAGGTCTGTTTATGTGTTACTGAGGGTGTAGTTCTTTACTAAGACCATGATTGAACCTATATTGAGATTCAGTTATCTGAGAACAGTGACTTGATCTGGTAGAGATCAGGAAACAGTTATTGAAGACGCCTCTTGATAGAGTCGATCAGATCCTATGCGTGATCGCAAATATGTGACACGCTTGTTGGCATTGATTGTCAGTACTTGTAAACCATTTGATCCAAGATCCATTAAGCCCACTATAAAGCCAACGCTACAACGAATAGAGCTCATTATCGACAAAAAGGGCTGCACTCTGCAGGTATGATCGAAGTACGGTAACGACGAGGGTTCCATAACGGCCTGGGTCACGGTCCCGAAAGGGCCTAGGTCACGGTCCTGAAAGGGCCTGGGTAACAGTCCCGAAAGGGCCTGGGTCACGTGGCCTAGGCATGAGTTCCAAAAGGGTTGGGTCACGGTCCCGAAAGGGCCTGGGTCAGGGTCCCGGAAGGGCCTGGGTCACGTGGCCTACGTATGAGTTCCAAAAGGGCCTGGGTCACGGTCCCGAAAGGGCCTGGGTCAGGGTCCCGAAAGGGCCTGAGTCACGGTCCTAAAAGGGCCCGACTTTTAACATATTTTGGTTTTTACACTCGAAAATCTTAACGCGAAAATTTCAAAATTAGGCGAAATTACGCGGAAAATGCTAGATTATGCGGAAATATGCAGAAAATTACAAAATGTGCGGAAGTGTGCGGAAAACAATAAATTATGCGGAAATGCGCGGAAAACAGTAAATTGTGCGATCCCGCACCCATCGCACCTAATATGTGCCTCTGCCGAGCCTATGCATGTAATTGTACTACCTTTATGTAAAATCAAGGTATAAAAATTTGTACGAAAATCAAGGTACAAAAATGTGTCCTGCTCAAAGCACGATTTAAAACCGTTTCTGTCTATGAGCACACTTGTCATTGGAATCGGCCCTGAAATTGGAGCTCTCCATTTCTTCTGAAAAATATCTGCATTTTGTGCAGGGAACTTAATTTGATTTCACTTGTGGTCGTTAAGGTGTACCTCTCAAGTCTTGAGGCTTCTAGAAGAGGGAATCACCACACAGACCCTCAGGATGGTAACATATAACTCAATAACTGTGCGTGTGTGTTGAAGGGGTGGGGCCAGGAATAATGGTCACCATATTATACATATTACATATGTTAACTAAACTCTTGTGTTTTATTTCTTTACCACCTCTTTGTTCTCCAACCATTGTCGTCTCTCAGTAGCGAAACCAATCGTCACAGCACCAGATCCGTGTCCTCAACACTTGACCATTTGTTCGTTCACCTGGACAAAACAACTTATCGTGACATTACCAACAAAAGCCTCTCTCTCTCTCTCTCTCCCCTCTCACTTGTACCTAAATAGTCAATACCCCATATTATGTGTACTGTACCAGTAGGAAAGTACTGATAATCGTGTAACTAATTTGCTGGGGAGCACTTCCCCAGTCTTCCTAGCCCTTTCTCACTTCCACTCATTATCACACAAACCTCTCATACTAACCCCTCTCTCTCTCTCTCGCTCTCTCTCTCTCTCTCTAGCTCCCGGGTTACTAACCCCTCTCTCTCTTCAGGACCAGTGTACACGTGACTCCTGTAAGTACCTCCACCCTCCCAAACTGGTAAAAGAAGAACTACAAGCCTCCTCCCGAGCCTTCTCTCAGACCCAGACTGCTCTGCAGCAACTCTGCAACCCCCTCATGCTGCAGCAACAGGCTATGTGCGCTACTCAGGTAACGACATTTGTGAAGCTTTAACCCGTACCCGGACCTGGCTGGACCTCGTGCTTTCCGCATTTCTGGACGGTGAGGAAGCTCTTTTAACGTCCGGAAATGTGCTTGAGTACGGGTGGTCGGGTGATGTCCGGGTGTAGCATCGTGTGCTGTCCACGTCCGTCTTCATGGCTAGGTGTACCCGTTCATATCATAGGTAGATGGTACCGTGTACTCTATAAACTGCGCCTTGCTTAGTCGCGCTTACATCAGCCAACTATCACTATCAGGTTATACTGGTTTATTTTTTAAACATGCCCCTCCTATTTTTAACAGTGTATACAATACTGCTTATAAGAATAGCTTCTTATGGTTGTAAAATATACATTTTATAACCCATAACTTTATCATGATACAGATCTATAAAAAAGACTAAGTTAAGTAAATGAGTTTGTCTAGTTTCTCTGTAAACCATGAGTATTCCTTTAAAATCTGGCCTTACGAGCGATAATTTGTATTATAAAGATCCACTGTCCTGTAATCTGTGATTAAATAGCCCTTTAAATATAAAGTATTGCTCATCATTATTATCAATTATGCCAATGACTTTTGGTGGTGTATCGTCAAGTAACGTGGTTAAGATTATGACACGTATTGTAGATCTAGCTTCAGCAATTAGTTACACAGCTGATTAAGTAAATAGTATCAAGTACCCCGTTGTAGACATTAATTTGATGATTTCTTACAGCAGCCTAAGTACTTAAATAGCCTAGTACCATCTACAAAATTTGATATGTCTGCGATTTCAAATTTATTACTTAGCTCATTTCCAAAATCTCATCTGAGACTCAGATTCTGAGACTCAGATTCTGAGACTCAGATTCTGAGTGCTTCAGAATTAATGTTTCATATATTTATCATACTACTCTCCAAATTAACTAAACAGCATAATTTGAACAAGGTAGTAGGTTTATTACACAAATATAAGAGTGTATGAGCTGTGTATACTTCTGCACCAGGTGCACTATCTATCATTTTAAATGTAATAATGGATCTAAACAATGAGCTTTACGAGGTCCCCCCACATCGTTAACTTTAGTGTGGTATTATCTTACCTAACTGTCTATTATACCGTGAACTGCCACTAAAGTCACGTGACCTTATATTACCGTGACCTGCCACTCTCTGCCATTATTACACGTAAAATAACTATTAAATGTCCTTGATGATGAATCATAGCTCTCTGCACCACGCTGAGGCCGATATAACCGAGCTTTTTTCAAAATTCATTACTTATCAGAGCCAGGTGTATGTACCTAGTACAATAACTTTAGTAATAGCTTTATAGCCGGAATGAAGTGTGGTGTAAGCAGTAGTGACTGTACTAGTGTAGTGTAGACTGTAGTGGACACGTTAGTTCATGAGGCTCCGTTTTAAGTCATTGGAGAGAAAGAGATCGCCTTGGTGCGCTTCGCTAAAACTTGTACTTGTACATTAGTAATAGTATTACTTCTTGTCGATGAAAATGTTGTACAAACAGCTATCCTCCATAAATATGTATACATATTCGATCATATCTATACCAATTATTTGCCAAAACCCCACCAAAACAAAGCCCTGAAATACCCATTTCCAGTTCTGTGATATGTCAAAGTCGGCTGGAATGATAGTAAGTTATATTCCGGGCGTGAATACCCCTGCTTGCGAATAGCTTCAACAATCCCAGCAGCTACAGCTCCTTTATAAACCGCGCCTATTAATGCTTGCCCTCATTTACAGTCCCATGTTCATTAGGTTGCTACTCTCGGCCGATTACACTCTGACAACATGGCGAGCCCCGGTTGCCAAGACATTTCTGCCATTTCACTCTCTCCAGTGCATTAAAATCTGCTTTAATTTGCTTGGTTGCTATTTATCGTGATTGTCAGACGGTTGAATGTGTACGTCACCGATCTTTATGTGATACCGATCACAGAGCCGTGATCAGTGCTCACCGCAATGACTCGGGAAATTGTGCAAGTTGATATTTGGCCAATACATGGCGGATCAGAGGCTCATATACAACATGTACATAAAACATAAGGCTGCGGTGGACAGGAAAGCTTCATCCTACCGACCGGATTGGTCCAGAATATCGCTTAGCAACCGGAAAGATCTCGTTACTGGAGTAGCAATCACACTTAATTTATATAATTGATGCTCACGTTAACCCCTCGGTTTGTTGCTCCTCAATGAACCAGTCTTTAAATAATATTCCAGTGTTGTTCGCCTGCACCGCCGCCAAATGCCGCCGCCGCCACAGAAGTTTTACCGGCGTGCAACACTGGCGTTTATTGCCGAATTAACTTAAGTTATGAAATTGCCACTATATCGCCACGAGCTACACACGCGGCTACCATTGCTAATCAAAGCAGCTACAAATTATTCCTTATCTTAAAACACACTTCCGGCGAAAGATAATATTTCACGGTTTCTGTTTATATGAGGTATAACTCATTGGCTATTGTCCCGTTCAAATTCTTGTGACCGACCTAGACTTCACTTCACAAAATATCCTTGTGTTTTGTTCGCAAAATATGTCAGTTCGTCTTGGGTTGGGCACAAAGAACGTGCTTTTGTGAGCGACATTTTTTAATCTTTCAAATCTGATAGAACAAAAGACGGGGCAGTTAGATCGAATAAATACTAAAATTTTCTTCCCACTGTAATATAAATTACTCATCTTATTTAACACTAGAAAAAGGTTGAAGTACTGTATTTGTTTAGGGTGTGTGGTAGTAGCAAGATCGTGTAAGATGAAAATAGTTCCGTCAGGTAATGAGCATGAGTTCGCTGCTTATTGTTGTTGGATCCGGGCCGCCCATTTCCGCCACCGCCGCCCATTGGCGCCCACTCGCTGTTCTCACTCACTTTTCACGCTATATTTGACAAGTTGATAGTTCATATTCTTGCAAACACTAATACTCATCTTGCAAACTTGACCGCACTCTTGGGCGCCTATCTTCACAATTCAAACAAATCTTTGTCTCTTGAAAAACAAAAGATGATCATGGCTAAGCATCAATCATTTAAAACGAATACATGCGTTTAAACAAGCCTCGATTTGGACTGCTGAATCGCAAATGTACGGGTACATGATGTTTTGCCACAATATGTTACCTCACAGTGACTCACCTCCCAATCCTATAATCAGACTTCAAGCTGAACATTGTTCTAACCTTGAATCCAACCCTAAACCCTTTGTTATTTATTACCCCTAAATGCTGTGAGGTGAAATATTGAACGGTAAAATTTCTGCTCCCTGACTGTATTATTGGTCCTCACAATTCGCCTTCTCTGTTGCTGGTTTCCAATTTTTGTACCGCAAATTTGTAAATATCGCTGCGTTCTAGATTGAATTATCCTTGAAGTTTGAAATCACTTCGGTTTGGCTGACTGCGCAGTAGATTGGACGATTAATTATTACAACACACTTCACTACAAAATCAAAATGTACATTATACAAGTTTCTCAAACAAACATGCAAAGACCGATCGTATACGTCAAATGAAACCGGCCTGAACTCGGTTTGACAAAGAATAATATACATACTTTTACAACAAATGTTATATGGTTATCAATGTACTTTTAAAAAGTACCTTATCGCCATAAGGACAAGGTGTGAAATAGCAAAGCTGCAATCTTGGTGGTTGAATTAAGAGTTGTGTGCTTGTCTGGCGATCTCGTCATTAACCTATTGCGACGATTCTTAATGCAACAATTCTCTCATTCAGCTTAATTTATATTAATTAATTAATTAATTACCCTTCAAACATCAACTTCAAGATTACATCGTCTGCAGGATAGTCTCCAAACTTCCTGTAGTTGATTGTCCACCACATTTTCCACACTCAATCATATACCACAACTGCTAAAACCTTATATTCATCTAATCTTAATAAACCTAACACACTGTGTAATAAACATATTGGGCAGCGTGTAACGACAAAGATTTTATGAGGTCCCTTATGACTCACACCTTTTATGCTGCTTTTTACAATAAAGTTTACATTACACGGTTGCGCGTTAGAGTTTTCTAGGTTTCTAAACAGTTTATTGTTTGTCCATTCATGCTGGCATTGGAGTGTAAGATGTACATTTTATGGGGATACAATGCACAGCGACGTCGTCGTAACTCGTAATCAGTGCAATCATAGGCTCTTATCAGTGCCGCTTGGGGATCAATTAGTCCGAAACGATGGTGTGAAAGTCTTTATCAGCAAGATTAACATTATGATTATGATCGTTGACTTAATTAAATAACCGCGAACACTGATAGTTATAAAGTTTTCTTGAACCGCATACTTGAAACTCAACAAAAGCTGTGTGTGAGTTCCAAAATCCCAGGTGCCCCGCTTAAAATGTTACCCTCGTGGTGTTTAATCGCTGTTTTTGTCAAAGCTTCTAACATCGCTGCTCATCCAAGTCTTCGTTGAAGATACATTCCTGTTTATTTATTTCAACATGAATATTAATTACGCTTGTAAGCCTGTATTCTGGAAACATTCAACATTCAGCACTCACACACTTAAACTTTAAGTTAATGTCGTTCATTTCTGTGTTTTATGTGTAACTATAATGATGTTATTTACACAAAATGTTGAATCTGTTATCTGTTTGCTGAGATCAAACTGCTGGTTTTCGTTACATTTCTCTGGATTAGAGATATATTCATTCAAACTTAATCAGGATTGACTGTATTATTATTTATCAAGGTATATCAGAATAATTCCATTTTAATTCTAATATAATTTGTTATCATAGTATGTGTCAAGTTGCCGGTAACAAAATATAGCGATCACTAATACTATACCCCAGAATGTTCAATTTCACCCAATATAACTGGATTGTTAATGAAACCACCAACCAGAGAACCGTAATAACACCACGTGATACCCCCACACCCACCACCATTGTTATCTCGGTCCACTAGCAGCAGATCACATCCGGGATGCAGAGTCAGTCCTCATCCTCGTTGTCTGCCCTTATCAGTTCCTTTTTATAGTCTGGCTATCTTGAGATGTTATTTTTTAAGTGGAAAGCATTTTAGTTCGTTTAATTTGACACGTGTGCCAGCAATCATCCATGAGTTGTCACGTGTAAAAACTAATTTACCCCGCCCCCGGGTACCTGGTCAACTTCAATCAGTTTGTATTTGACTGGGAGTTCCCACAACCAATTAGTCGCATATTGCCAGGTGCAATTATGTTATTGGTGACCACTGTCTGCAGCTTCCCATCATAAATACCGATGATTCACCTGGTTTCGCAATCTACCCAGAATTCACGGTCTTTAAATTCTACCATATCTCCTGTTGAACGCTAACCTGCGAGAACTAAACTCCAGTATAATCGTATGCGAGTCTCCTGACCAACTGAACCATCAAACTATCACCCTCCAGCACCAATCACATCTCACTGCTTGTCTGAACTGTATTAGCTGGTTTTAAACACCGGGCAGGGGTTTAACCGGCACGTGACACGGTGTCTATACCACAATCACGCGTGGCACTCTCAGAGAGGTATCATTTAAACCAGAAACTGACAAACACAGCTTCCCAAATCGTTCATAAAGTGCCATCATCTCTCCGCTTTTATGAACGGTTTCCATTATAGCATTATATAAGCCCGTATAGATTATAGATTAGCTGCCAACGAAAATGTTGCAGGTTATATAATTGCCCCCGAAATCAAGGTGCATGGGTAGATTGCTCAGATCTTAAGTCTGGAAATCTCTACTGTCTACAAGTGACCTTAAGCTTGAGATCCAGCTGTTACCACTCTACAGACGGCACCTGCAATGTCCTCCAGCTATCACTCTCTCCCTCTCTCTTTTTCTCTCTCTCACTCTCTCCCTCACTCTCTGCCTTTCGTGACGTGAACTAACGCGAGCTGCTTTTACAGATCTCGCTCTCGTTTTGCTGTGTCGGTTATACCAAACTCGGCGAGCACCTAAATATCATTAGGACTTATAAGGCCTGCTCTGATTTATATCTTGACAATCCCTTTATTCCAAAGGTCGCATTTCTGAGGAGCCCGTATTCGTTTGTTTGAGTCTTTTGGATTTCATCCTTCACGCTCTCCCTCCTGCACTGCAGAGTGTTCTGAACTGTGGTTTCCAATATTCGGGAGATTTTCTCGTCTGGTCTAAAACTTTTAGTTTTTAAAAGTACATGACATATATTGTAAGTGGTCTAGGTTTAGTAAGATACGATTATCGAAATATTACGTTATTATCTCCCAAAGCTCTCTGTTGCAGATCAAAGATCTATATTTTAACTGTAGCGCAGTAGCAGCCAGGTGTTCACACCTTAGCTCTGTCTCCAGCCTCATTCTCTCTATCCTGCCATCTTAGGAGAGTTATTTAACAGCCATTCTTTTTTCTGGGGTCATTATATAGCTATTATTGCAGGTGTCGGGCACCCCATTTAGTTGTGACCTCTCTCTCTCTCTCTGTTTCTTAGTGGTGGTCGGTCGCGTCATTTTCTATGACTCGCCTATTTTCTATTTTTTGATACGTTAAGTCTCGGGCAGTGGAGCGGTTAACGTTGTGTAATTTTTGGTCTAACCCATTCACTTTTGTGGGTCCCCTAATTCCCGGGGTCAATTTGTCAGGGAAAATTTAGTGTACTTGATATTCTAAGTATTCTGACACACACACGAGACCTTATGTATCCAGTGAATGTGCAACCTTGAGGCTGCATGTCGCCAACTCTCCTCATTGCGCGGACATTCGAATAAGCAGGCTAATTAACGTTAAATATCTGACGACTACCACCATTTGTATCTGCCTGTCACCCTGATCATCATGACGGATGGGCGGTTCATGCCTGGCGAGCTAATAATAGCCATTATTGGGAATATCTGGGAAATTATTGTCAATATCAAGTTTTATTGAAGTTCTGTGACGGTAGCTGTATGAATCTTGGTGCGTGTATTCCTCGTGAACTATACTAAACTACAGCTACTAGTTGCATACCTTCCCAGCACGTTCTTTTGTATTGTACAACGTACGTGTGATGGATTATTAGGTTATCAAGCCATTAAATCATTCATGCTCAGTGCTCACTCACAATCCTATCATTTTTGTAGATAACTGTTGCCAGTCGATTGATTTCGTGACAAATTGGCGTATCCACTATCCAGGAATATCCGGTCAAGTATCCCAGGCTATATAGGTACTACCAAAGAAGCCTCGCAGTATCCGGACTGGCAGTACCTCTGGTAAAGACGTTAAGTCCGGATAAAATACCCGGTCACAGTATAACTGGTATAGTGTTCCACTTGAGTTATCCGACAGAGACGACTTGAAGGTCCGGACCAAGGATCAGGTAGCTGTGTCCTGTACTGGAGAGATGTTCTTCTCTACAGCCGTGTATAATACAGCCAGAATTAGGGGTGTATTGAGTTACAGCCTGAAAATCAGATGGGCCCTCAGAACTCACTCTCTCTCTCTCCCTCTCTTACTCCCACTGCTCTGTGTCACACGCCATTTGTTGCTCCCCGGTCGTAATCAAGTTTCAGTCCCATAGTACATTAGTTCATTTGGTTTGTGTTGTCTTCCTCGCAGCACATTACATCTGCAGTCCCACACAGTGTACCTGATAGCTCCATCACTATGAAAAGATCCGTAACGATAGAGAACCCCTCTTCAAGAGTGCAGCCACGGAAGGTAGGATTCCTTTTTTCAGAGAAGACAGCATGACGTCACGACATACTAGCGAGATGTCTAATATTTTAGCGCATGCTATGTGACAATTGAGGGTTTCGTACGAGTGTCTTTTGTTCGATTCCCTCGGGATATGCTGTCATGTTAAAATATAAATTTCAATTTGTAACACCAGCCTTATTAATCACCACTCTGGCGTCTCAAAGCTCGCTCAATCCCTGTAAGTTATTAGCTCATCAGAACGGAGTTGATAGTACCCAAATCAAGAGCAGCTAATCTAGAATACCCAGGGCAGAGAGCCGCGTCAGATCCTGATAGTTGAGTTGTGATATAGACGGTAATGGAACAGTTAAGTGCCAGCTGAAGACTGTTAAATGGCTTTATAACGACCCGTGGGAGCCGTGTTTTTTAACGGTACAACTGGTCTGATCATGATCCCTTGCTGAACTGTGTATTTCTCGTAAAAGTCCTAATTAGTCTTAGTGCTTTAGTGCTAATGGGATTTAAGGGGATTCTGTAATGGGCTGTCAATCCTGAGGCTCAGTAGACGTAACCAAGCATGGCTGATCTCTGATTGTCACGTGGTATTTGCTTGTCACGTGGTATTTGCTTGTCACGTGGTATTTGCTTGTCACGTGGTATTTGTTTAGCACTACAGGGCGGTAGCTGTCACGTGACTACATGAGTTACGGTTAACTTGTATGGGCTGTGTAAAAACACCGGCACATCACACCGTCCTTAAATAAACACAGAATTTTGGGGTGTTTCCGGTCCACAGCATGTGTTTTGATACACTACGTCTTTACTTTGCCTGCAATCCGTCCGTTTTGTATACTCTGAACAGTCGTGATCCAGATCTTTATAAAAACGAGAACTCAGTAAAAATGCAGAACAACCCATCCTACCAGCTTGGCGTGGGACAACCGACTGACGCCTTCAGTGGAGTCCCAGTTACTGGCACTGGTCCTGGCGTGGAACTGGGTACCGGACTTGGTACCGGACATGTTGCTGGACTTGGTAACGGACTTGGTAACGGACTTGGTAACGGACTTGGTAACGGACTTGGTAACGGACTTGGTAACGGACTCGGCGCTTTGAACAGTTTGAAATGGTCCTCTGTATACGGGGTCGGGTCTAACTTGCAGATCGGAAATACGTTTCCTCGTGCTAAACAGTTCCTTCAGAACAAACACCACATGTCTAAATCACAGAAAAAGGTTCGTTTTGATATCTTTTAAAAGTCATCTGTCTTCTATCCTCATTAGCCATGATCCGTTCCAGAAAGATCCTACTATTTCATACCTCTGATGAAATATTATCTCATATGAAGTTTCAGTCTTATCTGTTTCAAACAGTTGAATAATGAGATCCCCTGATCTATTCCCTTTGTCTACCAACAAAAGGAACTCCTCCCACCACCATATGCTTCACCCACACTCTACTTCTATTCTAACTACTGATCCGATCCAAGATCACCAGCCTGGAACCACTTTATATACCTCCAGTTGCTATTGTTCTAGACTATCGTTATGAGTTCTATTGAGCGGTAACCATACCAGTTGTGAGTGTCGATAAATGGTAACCAGTTGTGAGTCTTAGTAACCAGTTTTAGTTACTTAGTAACCAGTTTTGAGTCTTAGTTATTTGGTCCTTGAGTCTTGGTAATGATTTTCCGAGGGAAGGGCTGGAGAGGTGGTGTTAGTCGGCGGCGGAAGGTATGTCAAATGTACTAGATCCTACAATACATACCCTCATCTACATTGTACAACAATTCATCGCTGTATTTTGAGTGATTGGGTTTGTTTTAAAAGGATGCAATATTGGACAATGGTAATACCATTAAATGGTATGTAGCCCTAAGTCCTTAAGTCTGAGCTTATTCATTAAGTCGCCCTGAGGGTGCACATCTTACGATCTCATTAAGCCACTTTTCTCAGCATGTCCCTTTCACTAAGTCACCTATAAAGCTCTAACCATCACTCTAACTCTCACTCTTGCTCCTTGCTCACTTAAATTTCTACCTTGTGCTCTATTTTCTAAAAAACAATTTCTACGTAATGAGCTGGTCCACTTCATGGGGGCATTGTACGGTGTGAGTTACCAAATAAGGGCATATCACGTGGACTCAATTAATGTGGACTGTGGCGATCTCTCAGCTCATATTTTGTACTACAGCTAGCTAGCTGAACAATGCGGCAGCCTCTCTCTCTCTCTTTCTCTCTTTCTCTCCCTCCCACCTGACTCCTATATTGTATTGTGCTCATATTGTGTGGACCACTTTCAGTGCTTGAGGCTGGATCTTGTTTTGTTCCCTTTACCTCACAAATTCTTTTTAGGTATCTCATTGTCACACGTTTTATTGACCGTCCTCATGTGTTCTCGACACAGTTTCGCGTGCTTTTATCACTACTCGACTATCTTGTTCATCTAGTTTAGTTCATATCTTGGTGACTAGTGACACATCCTCAACTAGGTTCAACACTAAAGAAAGGAGGTAATGAGTCCTCGAGTCCTGCCCGCCTGGTTACCCACACCACGTGACCCAGTGCCACGTGGTTCTCATTATCTGAGTATGTATACTGCTGAGCAAGTCCTTGAAATGTGGCTGTCTCACCTAGCAATGTGGCTGGTGGCTTCTAGCTATGTCGTTGTCACATAGCAACGTGGCTGTCGTCTAGCAAAGTGGCTGTCATCCAGCAAGGTGTTGGTCACTTAACCACATGGCTGTAACCTAGCAACATGGCTGTCTCCTAGCAGCATGGCTGTCGTCTCCTAGCAACCAGCTGATCCTGAAAGTGATGTGATCTGCTGCTCATCGTGACCCCGTGATATTTTTGCCACCTTTTCATGGACCAATTCGCTAAACCAATCATACCCAATTTGGAATAAGCGATGTTGAATGTAGAAAATTGGCCGCAGGTGCTGAAAAATAAATTTGTTATTGTCTATAGAGTTGTAGGTTGACCAGTCCCGCACCACTCTGCTATGTTTTCTTCAGTGAAATTGCTCCCGTAATCGATTTTCATGCGAGAAATGCAGGGTAATCCTCTCCCCGTGGCTCACTACCCCTTCATTCGCAATGATTATTGTACGTTTGTTAGTGAAATTTCAAAGCTGAAAGCTGCGGACACAGCTGCGCAATTATCTAACATCGTTTTTACCAATTCAATCCCTCACTCACGACAATGGAAACCACACTTTTTTCTTTTGTTTCTTTGTCATAATTATCCATAGAAAAAGATGAATGCTCCTAGTTTGTATTTAGAGTTGGGGTTATTAAATAATAAACGTGACCGTCATCACAACAACAACAACGTTGACTCACCCCGCGTGCTCTACACGATTTACCGCTCTCACATTTATCTGGTTTGAACAACGCTGAGCAAGTAACCCTCCGCTGTGTCTGAACTATTATTTGAGCTACACACTACACACACACACCAAGATATTATACGCTGGGACGAGTGCTGAAATAGCCGGCTTGGTTGCGCACATACAGCTTGTGTAATCTACACACTCACACACACAGGCACAAACTTTGATTATGTTTTTATCATGATTTTATCAAAATGGTGGGTTTATATTTTCTCCTCTTCCCTCCAGTCACGTGACTAACATCCTCTTCTCTCCGACAGAACATGATTTCTCCGTGGGGGTTCATGGTGCCTCAGGTAATGCCGCTCTCTTTCACCCCAACTGCCGTCGTCATCCCAGAGGTTCCCTGCTCCGGTGGCAGAAGGAAGGATAAATCCGACAAACTAGAGGTTAGTGTTGAGTGTAATTAGTTATTTAAGTTGAATGTGATTACCTTACTCGGGAATATTATGACTGGGATAAAGTGGTGGGTTTTGGAAAATTCCGCCATATTTTCCCGGTCATTAATTTTTCCAGTCATAAATTAACCCGCTATTATGTTCCCGAGTAAGGTAAACTAATAGTAAAACATTTTGATGCTTGGTGGGTTTTGGAACATTCCGCCATATTTTTCCCGGTCATTAATTTTCCCAGTCATAAATTAACCCGCTATAATATTCCCGAGTAAGGTAGTTAATTAGGTTGAGTGTGATTAGTGTTGAGTGTAATTAGAAGTTTTTACCAGCTGACATGTTCAAACTAATCAGACTACTTTAATCAAACAATTGTTTGTTAAAACAATTGACTCTTTACAGAATTCTGTATCAAACCAACCTGTTTAAGTTTAACACGTGACTCCCTCCTTCAGGTATGTAGAGAATACCAAAGATCCCAGTGCCCGAGGGGTAACGACGAGTGCAAGTATGCTCACCCCGAACCCCACATACACCCTGACCCTAATGATAATATGGTTACCGTCTGTATGGACTTCATGAAGGTTTGCAGCTCTCTTAACTTTCATACTATCTGGTTTTCTTTGTTATCTTGTTATCTGGTTATCTTGCAATTGTAGTTGATCTGCTGATGATTTAAGTTATCTTACTTGATCCAGAAATTCTTGGTTTCAACTAATTTGTCTCTCTGCACATGTGCCACTTATATAAGATTTGGTAAACCATCTGCACTAGCCGGGTTTATTATATAGTATATACTTGCTACCACGTGACTATTACCACGTGACTATTACCACGTGACTATTACCACGTGACTATTACCACGTGACTATTACCACGTGACTATCACCACGTGACTATCACCACGTGACTATCACCACGTGACTATCACCACGTGACTATCACCACGTGACTATTACCACGTGACTATTACCACGTGACTATTACCACGTGACTATTACCACGTGACTATTACCACGTGACTATTACCACGTGACTATTACCACGTGACTATCACCACGTGACTATCACCACGTGACTATCACCACGTGACTATCACCACGTGACTATCACCACGTGAGCTGATGCTAATGTTTTTCAGGAGCGTTGTGAGCGAGAGTCGTGTCGCTACTACCACCCTCCCCCACACTTACAAGCTAGAGTTAAAGCTAACCAGCTCAACGCCTCCTCCCTCATGGCCGCAGCTGCCCAGTCTCAGGCTCTTGCTCTGGTATGTCAATTATTTTATTTTAGATCATGGCTGTCTATTAATGATATCAGATTTCGATCTCACAAAAAACATTGCAACAAACGTTTCAATTTGCGTTGCTAAATTTGAAGAATTGCTCAGAATTTAAAGCAGCTTAATCGTGGCCGGTCTCTCGCTATATATATACCCATACTCGAGATATCACAGTTCGGCCTCCCTGGTCTGTGGGTTCTGGGTCTGCTTTACTCAAACACAAGGAAATGTTTTATTTCGCTGTGTCCCCGCGGCCTGGGGAACGCAGCTTATCCACTATCCATATCTTATCGCTGACAATGTAATGTTATAGCTGCAAGGCTTTGTTGGGGTTGCCCAAATTGCCTGTTATCTTTCAATGTAGTTATCACACTGATAACAGCATTCCAACTCCCTCAACACTTTATCTGACACACATGAGGAAGAGAGAACTAAAGCCGGCTCAGAATCCAAAAACCCGGCTTGATTCCGTTACCAGTTGCTGCTTTATGTGACTACTGTAGAGCTGAATTGTTACAACATCCTTCGCTCAACAAGCTATTACCCAAGCTAATTGATACGTTCATTTACTGACCTGATTATCGATTACTTACATATTTAAGTGGCGTTCGCTTTAAAAATGGAGATCACATGTGATGAATCTTGACTACTTTTCAATATTTAGGCTTTTTAAGCTGTGGACCGCGACCCTTGCTAAATAAAATCGATTGCAATCACCAACCGTTCGACCGTGATATTTTTTAATCCGGACCAAACTTACCGAACACTTAAAAAAAATTTAAAAGCAAGGGTTGTGGTCGATGTAGGCTTAAGTTGCGGTTTATCGTGGTACCGCTGTTTTGCTATGTGCTGTTTCTCTGCAGGGACCGGGAGGTACCGGGAACCAGTTGTCCTACACGACACCAGCCTCCTCCGCCGCTCTCCTCCCCACCTCCAGCACCTGCACCACTCCCTCCATGGCCTTCTCCTCCTACCAATCCAGCCCGCTCTCCGCCGCCCTCCCCAGCCAATATTACCACGCCCAGCAAGCTGCTGCCCTGGCACCTAACCCTGCCCTTCAACCCACCCTGAACCCAATGTACGCGCTAAGCGGACTTAACGGGCTCTCAGGAGGGGCTCATGGTCTGGCAGGTGCAGGTTTGGGGCAGGCCTTCTCTGGGGCTGGTCTGATGGGAGGTGCTGGCCTTATGAGCATGGCTGGGGCGGGAAATCCGGGAGCTGGGTTGTACGACCCAGCTACCTTGAGCGCTATGGGGGCTCTGGCTCTACCCAAGGACCCCATCGCTAGATCGACCATGTTAGCTCAAATGGCTGCTGAGAAAGCCGTTCTGACTAGCCGCAAGAGAAAGCTGATGGATACTATGGTATGATATTTATCATTTGTAAATCTGCTGTTTTAACGATCACACAACACAGCCAGTTAGCAATAAATATAGCATTTACAAGTTCTAACTAACGGCTGTTTTATTCAAACCATAACACCCCATACGATCGAACCTACCCCAAACCCCCAGTACGCTTGTATTGAAACTAACCAGGTCATGGTTTGAATCGGCCAGCTGCCTGCTCTAATCTGCTCGACTGTTGTCCCCACAGCAAGTGCTGTATCTGTCAAGCTGCTGCAACCCCCTCAAACCCCCCTTACCCTTCACCCCACCTCACCCCTCTCTTTCAGTCCGGGTACCCTGAGATGGTGAAGAGACAAGCTCTAGGAGTGGCCGGGGCAGGACAAGCCTCACTCATGTCTCCGTGGAACATGTCCCAGCAGTTGGCGCTACAAGGGGCGCTAGCCGGACAGGGCGCTATGACAGCTCAACCTCAACTCCTAACCAGCTCTGCGCTTAGTTAGTTTCTTTCTGTGTTTCAACAGAACTTTGTATTTTAGCAGCTATATTTAAAGCGGCTGTTTGTGGCACTTCTGATCCCTTCAATTTGTCAGATGTTTCACCTTATTGTTATTTTACAGTGAATCCCACAGCAGCAGCTCTAATGCATCAGCAAGCAGCGCTGGGGTACACCACGTACGCCTTACCAGCCTCCTCCTCTCCATACAGCATACCAGCTCAATACCCCTCCGCTCAGCAAACAGTTGCTCAGACCCCTACTGCTACTCCTACTCAATAGTATGTCACCAGGTTAGTTGTGTGGTCACATGATTACGGGTGGAATAGAGATAGAGTTGACATACGTTGCATGTATCAAAGATAGAGAATTCCTCATTTTAGTGGTTGCTTTTCAAGTTGTAACAAACTGATATTGATCTGAGTTAAGTTCCCGCGAAAATATCTGGTTTTACAGCATGACCTAAATTTAGACTAATATGAAGATGATAATTATGATTAATATCAGAATATTCCAGGTAAATCTGTTAGACAAAAGACCGAATCGCAGGCGAGATATACGGAGCCCATGAACTCTAATACTTTGTTGATGTTTTGTTTTTGTTGATGGATGATAATATTTAAACATTTGATATTTAAAATGAAATATGGAATGTGGAGAAAAGCCTTGGGCGGAGATTTTATTACGTTACGAAAGATACCAGATGTGTATTTAGTGTATACATTACACATACCTCATACACTGGCAAGTATGCGCACATATTTAATATTCACGATCGTTGTTTGCCTCTGTAAGACTTTTTACAGAACCTACGATCGGGAGACAGCAAATAATTATAATACTTAGAGGCCTCAATGTGTTGTAATTTTTAGATTTTTATTTATTAAATTGTAGCTCTCACATAACTCGTATTTGTTAATTTATTTAAAAAGGAGAAGATCCTGCCTATCCGGTTGATTGACGATCATATTGTTCTATTATTGTAGTTCGATTAATTTAAGGAATGTAACGCGTTAAGGAGAATGGTTACAACCGTATTCATATTATAGAAAATTGAATCCTCTCAAAAGTCCGTTCAATGGTCCATTATTGAATTCTTTAACAGCTCAAGCCTTTCTGATACAATGAAAAAAATGATGAAGGTTGCTACCGTTTTCTTTACACGAAAGTTAGCTATTCAATTTTAAATTCGAAATTACTATTAGTATTACCAGTTCGGACTGATTTATGTTTGTTGATATATGCGAATTGATATCATATAATGATGTATGGTTGTTTTTAATTCTAAGATCTCAATATGATAGTTGACATGACTTAATCTTGGCCTTGATTTTAAGATAGTTGGATTTTAAAATACATTGATATGATTTTGATGTCTCTCTACGATAATGATGTTTTGGGGCTCCTTGATTCTGTAAAATAGTAAGGAAAATCTACAACTATTTGGTATTTTTAAGCTATATAATATACAATATTTGTAAGATATATACCCGCCAGGAATCGTTTTTTCAAGTGAATTATTGAACTTGAATTTTACCCGATGTTTTAGCAATATAATGTTTATATTTCGGTTTTTAGACGATGATTTACCCTTTGTAAATACTGACTTTGTACTTTCCATTCCGCCGCCAGCTACAAAGCTGCTGAATGCTGCACTGTAAAATACACAATTTTAGGGGGCTACGCTCATGCCAAACGCCAGCATTATATAGCTTTGTTATTTTCACACCTAGTGATCTATCACACGCCACCATGATTCTTATCTGTTAGGTGACAGCTCGCTAATCGCAATCTATCACTGGTTTTAAGAGTCATACAAAGCTCGAAAATTTCGTTGCTACAACCGCTGACCTTCTAAGTTTAAATAAAAACACGCTCTTCAAGCCGAAATAAGAAGGTTTTATTTGCTATCGCTGATTGTTATAATCTTCAGACTATGTGATGTATTTTTGAGATATATAATAATATATGATAATAATTATTATGATAATATAACTGTTATGATAATAATTATTATATTACTATATTGATTATATTGCTTATGCTATGTTACTATTGCTTTCAATGTTCAATTTATCAGCATTATATCTGCATTGTTTAGATATGGATGCTTTAAGAGATCTGAGTTTTGTTTCGATATTTGCTGTGGTTCTACAGCGCTAATAGGAGATCTTTTGTAATTTTACATCATATCAGTCTCAAAAGTTGAAAATACATTGGGTTTCAAAATGGAGCCAGCTCGGCTTAAAGTTCTTGAGATATTGAAAAACGAATTGGAATTATTGGATGTTCTGACTTCTGAACTTACAACTTGGTTAGAATGGAAACCCTGACTCAAAGTCGTGCGAATCTCTGTGTGGATGGCCAGCATCAGTTTGCTATAAACCTACTATGTTGAATTCTTTTGTCTAGCACAATTGCTAGGATCCAATAGCCAGTGATAGCGCACAATATTTCAAATCTAGTGATCACTGCTCTTGATGATTGAATCTGGTATTGAACACAAATGGTCGGGACGATGTCAGGGTTTCTAAATTACTTTTGAGTGGACCCATCATATTATATCGCAAAATATCACAGATCATTCCAATTTTATGTTTAAAAAAATCTTGTTTCATTTCTTCTCTCCCAATATATAGTGTGATGTAACCTTATATTTATACCGATAGTAATACGCAAGTGACGCGTGTCAAGGAGATTTATCAGAAATGGTTAAGCCATATTGGACAGGTATTATATCCTCCACATCGCTTTTATTTGTGGTTGGACGATTGATGTGCTATAAATTTTAAAATGCAAGGTTTTTAACTATAGCTGCTATTGCAAATTGCAGGTATGTCCTCTCTATCTCTGAATTATAATAGAGATTGCGACATCCTTGCACTTACAAAAAAGTTTGCAGGATGATTTAAATAATGTCTAGATGTTTGGCCTTATCATTATGCATTATGATTAACTAAAAATGTTTAAACTAGTTACAAGTTAGCATGCACGCTGACTACAAGTTGTACAACTTTAAGTATTTATAAAGTTCGCTAACCAAAACAAATAATTTCATGTAATATGTAAACTTTATAAAAAAGCGTGAAGTAAGGACTGAGTATATTTCAAATAAAAATCCCAGGGGAGTTACAAATTGAATAAAAATGGCAATGTTTGATTGTTAACGGGTGATACTCGTAAAATATTTATTCCAAGACCGTCGTAAGTCGTTGCTGCAGTACGTTGTATAACTATAATGTATACACTATACCTGCGGTCGTGAAAAGGGGTTTATAATGTGTATCATCAAGACCGTCGACGAGTCCAACTCGGCGCGCGTCTCGGTGTTTACAATTTAATTGCTTGCAAACCTCATGGTTCACTGTTTAGCCGCAGCTCTCTCTCTCTCTCTCTCTCTCTCTCTCTCTCTCTCTCTCTCTCTCTCTCTCTCTCTCTCTCTCTCTCTCTCTCTCTCTCTCTCTCTCTCTCTCTCTCTCTCTCTCTCTCTCTCTCTCTCTCTCTCTCTCTCTCTCTCTCTCTCTCTCTCTCTCTCTCTCTCTCTCTCTCTCTCTCTCTCTCTCTCTCTCTCTCTCTCTCTCTCTCTCTCTCTCTCTCTCTCTCTCTCTCTCTCTCTCTCTCTCTCTCTCTCTCTCTCTCTCTCTCTCTCTCTCTCTCTCTCTCTGATACTCTTGACCATTGTTAATGATCTGGCCCGGCGCGCGCTACTTCGAAGAAATTTAGACGAGTAACACATAACATCCGTCAAGTGATACTCGTAAAATATTTGTTTCAAAGATCGTCGACGAGTCCAACTCGGCGCGCGTCTTGTTAGGTTATAAACCTACAACAGGACTCCCGAAGTATTTAAGAAATCAACAGACCTCTGGAGTCTTGATATGAAGCTGTCACTACCTGGCTCAGAGCAAACCCACTTCCGTTGTAATACTTCAGCGGGTAGACAAGGGATTTCCGAGTGAGGTCAATTAACTCCTGGAATTGGCGTTTCTATGTAGAGGTAGGCCAGGACGGGTTTAGTGTTTAGGTTGGGTTTTAGTGTAGTTCCTGATGTGAACTCCTAGGACTAGGAGTAGCGCGAGGTTACCCAAGAGATTTTCCCTTTTTAGTATTATCGACTGTTACACAAATTTGATAATGTGGTTGTGTTTACTGTTGATAATTTCCTCCATTGTGAGAAGAGGTTTACCAAATATCCTCAATCTGAGAGTCATCAGCTGGATGCATTCGCAAAGAAGTGCTGTGAAGTTTTTGCTTCCCCTGGGCAGTGTTCGCATCGCAGTCTTGCGTCTCAAAGTTAACATTGTTTGCCACTATCTAATCAAAGTAAGCTAGTAGCAAGTAGGCTGTGACCTGACAATAGCCATGTTACTGCAAGTGCATGTTAGCCATTTGATGTGAGTTTCTGAAGTATCAAGATTCCTATATTTGTATTTGTTGAGAAACAGTTCGAGAGGGATTTTTCCTTTTATATCACTGACTGCAACCTGTTGGTAATTGTTTAGGTAAAGTTTAAAGAGACACTTTGTAGCGCGATGCACGTTACTGTGCCGCGCCGCGCACTCAATTATGCTTCTTTCAACGGCGAAATGCGCTACTGCGAAATGCTTGTCATACGTTGTATGACCCGCCGCGCACAAAATTCGCGGCTCCCCCTGTATCGTCAGGACGAAACGACCGTCAGGACGAAACGACCGTGGGTGTCACAACGTGATACAACGAAATGCGCCTCGCCGAGCTGCGATGAATTGACATCGTCAATTAAGCTACAACTATAATTTTTGGTTGCTCTATCCACAATCCAGAGCCCTTGCAACTTGCGCTTGCAGTGCATTACCTGATCTGAGGACCCCGGGCTTTTATGTTGTTTAACAACATAAAATAGAGATTATTAGGCGGAATGACAGGCTGAGCGCGGCCCAGTAAGCAGTGCATGCAGTGGCGCGCGCCCGCATCTGTTATTTAAAATTGTACGAAACAAGCGCGCCCGCGGTGGTATGGCGCGAAAGCACATGGTTAGGTGAAATCTGTGGCGCAGTTTATATATCTCCGCCGAATGCAGTACAATTCCCAAATTGCGCGCATTGCAGTAATTACTAGAACTTTTAGTTTTATTAAACTTCATAAATCGAGATCAAATCTATTACCATGTATTTATGATTTAGAATCAATATATTCACATATATACATTACTTTAAATACGTTTTGCTTTTGAATTCACATAGCCATGTGTATACGCAATACGCTTCACATAGCCATGTGTATACGCGTACTGCGTGACGCGCTTGTTTCACAAGCGCTACTGCAAGCGAGAGGGCTTTGGTTAGAGCAAGCTTTTGAACATTGTAAATCAGTAGTCAATGACTAAACAGGGTTATTGAACATTGAAAATTACAAAGAATAAAACGGCGTTTATTTGGACTTGGGACTAGCTCTGGACTTGGGACCAGCTCTTGCTCTTGTAAAGTAAAGTAAAATGTTGACATCACATCATCGCATCACACATGTCTATAAAATATCATCGCATTATGGAAAAAATATATTATCAATATTTCTCACCAACATTAATTATTTATCAAATACAATATTTTAAAAATCTATCAAAAACATTATCCTATATTAAAAACTTCCCAGTGGAATAAAGATTTACAAAACGCTTCTTTTTTTAAATATCGATTTTTTCCTGACTTTGCAGTAATTGTGTTATTTGTTATTTGTTAAATTGCATTTGGCTCACAATTATAATTTTTTGTTTTACCCGAAGCTGGCAAAAGACCTTGCTCTAACCAAAGCCCTCTCGCTTGCAGTAGCGCGTGAAAAAGCGCGCTTCACGCTGACCATTGTTAATGATCAGGCCCGGCGCGTGCTTTCGAGAAGAAAGCGGCGCGCGCTACTTCGAAGAAATTTAGACGAGTAACATCCGTCAAGCGTCACGCAGCTCAGTACGCGCGTAGACACATGGCTATGTGATCAACAGAAGACCTACAGCGCACACAACACACAGTAGAAGCAAATTTTCAAATCCATTTGTATAGCTAGCAGCTAGTATTTGATTTGGTTTGGTTTTTTGGATATTCGAAAGTCTTTTTCATATTTCTTACTTAATTTATAACCATCTATATTTTTGATTGACGATGTTTGATGTTAATCCTTCGCAGCTCTGCATGACCGGTGGCGCCGGTTGCGAGAAACATTATTTGATGCGCGGCGCAGCCCAGTAATGCAGTGCACCACAACCTATATTTTTGCTAAATCGCTACGCCAAAAATCAATTTTCCGCTAGTAATTCGAAAAGTAAGTATTTTAGGTTGGTCTTTAATTTGTACATAAACGTGCTTGTTGTGGCTATTTTGTACTTATCCAAAAGTTTTTTAAAACCTTCTACACGAAAGTTAGAAAATATCTTGGCGCTTGATTCGAGATGCTTTAAGCATTTTTTACTATCAGTTGCCATATTGTGATCGTTGCAGTCATTTTGCACCCACCATGAAGCAACCATGGTCTGGTACGCTGATGACAGCTCTGCATGTGGAAGCTTCATCCAACTTCTTCAGTGGTGGAATAGACTTTGTGACATCGGTCCGGGATATGGGTATTATCCCAACGCTAAAAAGACCATTCTAATTGTCAAGAATCCTAAAGACCAGGCTGTAGCAGAGACACTATTTGGGCATCTTGGAGTTAAGATCACGACATCTGGAGAACGTCACCTTGGTGCAGTGGTTTACTGGGCCGCGCTCAGCCTGTCATTCCGCCGAATCTCTATTGTTATTGAACATGATAGCCTGAGGTCCCCAGGTAATGCAGTGGTAGGATCAAAGAAATACAGGGAAGATTACATCAAAGAAAAAGTTGAGAAATGGATAACAGATATTGAACAACTTGCTGATATCGCTTCTGAAGAACCACAGCTGGCTTATTCAGCCTTCACCAAAGGAATATGCCACCGATGGAGGTTCTTCATGAGAACAATACCTGACATTGCAGAGTACTTTGCCCCACTGGAGAGCAAGATCATGCATGTGCTCATTCCAGCCCTCCTCGGTCGTCCAGTCAACCAGCACGAGAGAGATATCCTCGAACTTCCTGTTCGTTGTGGCGGGCTAGGCATCATCAATCCTGTCAGAATAACATCCCGTGAATATGCTTACTCAGTAGCGGTAACTAAAGACCACGTGAGTTTGATCAACCAACAAGACCCGGATATCACCAAGCTGGACATGGGCAAGATAAAAGAAAAGAAAGAAGAACTGAGGAAACAGAAAGAGGAGTTTCTCTCTCAAAGGTTCAAGGTGCTCCACAAAGAATCAGATCATCAACTAAAGAACCACTTAGACCAAGCAAGAGAGAAGGGAGCCTCAACATGGCTTTCGACACTACCACTGAAAGACCTCAACTATGTTCTGAACAGGCAGGAGTTCCAAGACAGCATACGCTTAAGGTATGGTTGGAAGATCCAAGGAGTGCCCTCTAAATGTGCTTGTGGAAATGTTAACAGTATCTACCACGCCCTTGACTGTAAACTAGGCGGATACGTTAGCATGCGCCACAACGCTATTAGAGATACTGCTGCTTTCTTCCTCCGAGAAGCAAAGTGTAAAGATGTAAGGATAGAACCAGCACTCCTGACAGTCCAACCAAGCTCCTTCTCAAGAAAGACCAACACCCAGGATGAAGCCCGTCTTGATGTTGCAGCTGTCGGATTGTATGCACCCTTTGAAAGAACATTCTTTGACATTAGGGTCACACATCCTAACTGTGACACAAACACATTTAAGACGCTAGATAAGATCTATAAAGATCACGAGAAAGAAAAGAAAGATTTGTATGAAGAGAGAGTACTTCAGTCAGAGAAAGGATCCTTTGTCCCTCTAGTCTTCACAACCTCTGGAGGTATGGGACCCCTATGCACTGTATTTGTAGATCGTGTCTCTGAGATGATAGCTGACCATAAAAAAGAAGCCAAGAGCCAAGTCAAAAATCATATCAGAACACGATTTAGATTTGATCTGTTAAGAAGTACACTCATTGCACTAAGAGGAATCAGAGGAAGATCAACGGCCCAGCATCTTGAACTGCATGACATCTCCTTCAACCTCATCCCCCAGAAGACGAGCTTTGAGGTCTCCTAGATTTGTTTATGTAAATTTTGATATTTTACTGTACTATTTTATGTTGTATATAATTTTACGGACGAAATGATCCCAGGGGGGACTCCCAACCCACCGCTTCGGCGGGTAGTTGACGCACCTTTCACAAGCAAGAGCCACTTTGGTCTACTTGCTGTGAGGTGTCTCAGCTACATGGGTTGGGGGTCCCCCCTTTTTTTTTTCTTTTTTTTTTGCACCCTTATCATATTGAGTTCTTGAGCAAATTTTAATTTTTGTTCTGGGGTGCCTGGAAAAAATATGCTCTAGGTAGTTTTGCCCATCAGTTTTACAAGTCTTTGAGGTGGTTTCAAGGACTATGGACAACGTAAAGATGCTTGTGGCAAATTAATTGTAGATTTTTAGTACACTCCCATGTAACTTATAGAATAAACATTTGACTAATCACTAATGTTTCTGAAGTAAATTTTTACTAAAGGATGCCCTTACAAGATCTATAATCCTTTAACAAGGCCCCACACTAAAGCCTGTTGTGTAGCTATTAATTCCCTAACTAATAGTAAGTAATATTTGTGTTTTAAATCATTTATCTTTTAATCACGGTTTCTGATCTGAGTCGACCGTGGGTCATAGATCTAATGGAGTCCTCAGCTCATCACAGGATTCATACTTCATAAAGCATGGCTCACCCTGGCCCTGTTACATACTTCAGCTTAATAATCATACTTGCATTATTTCGAAGTGTAGTAGAAGATTGAAAACTGTACATTCCAAGATCAATTTTGGAACCTTGCAGAGATCCATGGATCTATAGTTTGACCTTCTCTTGATCTTGAGGATGAATTCTGATTCCAAAACTGATCAAAGAATTTCTGATATCAGAATAGGAGTATGCTTGAATCAAGGCAGTAATTTGAATTGGAAGTTCTAGCTTGTTGTCATTGAACTATACATGTCCTTATATAGCATCATTATGACGATTTATGACAGTCGAATTAGAGTATATATAATGTCAAAATCGGTGATTGTATCCATTCTGCTTTAAACATCTTCTGCGAGGTCTTGCTCTCCACTCACTTCAAATAAGATATTACCATTAACATTTCTTATTTTTATATGGTTTCTATATGGTTTCTACGATTCCTAAATTGTAATTTTGCTGTTTAAATGAGTAAGTGCCCGAAGATTTAAATTTTAACTCCCAAGGTTACCAATGAGAAATAAGCATGGGTAAAGATGATGGGGGATGTTTCATGAGGATAAAGATATTATCTGGGAGAAATGTACCTGGTTGTGTACCAGGAATTATTCCAGCTGCTAACGTTATCTGTGGTATGTGCCTAAATTGTTGAACTATGGAAAGTATCATTGTATGTGTATAAATTATTGGACTATTTTATGGAAATTGATTTTGAATAGAATCTGTGGATGAATTCTATTGCAGCCTTAATTTATTTGATCATCAAAGATTATATTTTAAATATATTTTCAGGGATAAGTAACCAGACTGCTCACACAGCGAGTATAGTCTCAAATAATCCCATCTGGAATCACAGCTTTGAATTTAAAAGAGCATCCAAAAAGGAGAATATTTTGTTTATCATCCGTGATGCTGATCAAATATTAGGGTCTTTACAGGTTAGTTTTGATCTACTTTTAAACATTTTGGAGAAATGTAGAATATAAAATTAAAATTTCAAGTATTGTTCATCCTGCAAATTTCTCATGCTATGATTCTCCTATTGAATTGGATAAGATCGCCAAAAGTGAGTATCTTAACGCATTTGCTCTAATTAATTAAGAACACTTCTACAGATTCCAGTAAAAGAAGTAAAACAGGGCAGCTTGAACACCAGGTTTGTGGACCTACTGAACGAGCAATCACCATGCTGTGTATCCTTCACCTTGACCCTTGAAGAGAAATCTACCTTGGTATGTATAATAAAGTTTTATTTTGTTGTAGTACATTTTTACCTCGGCTCTAATATTCATTTAATAGTTTAATATTTGGTCATTAATTGGAAATGTATGGTCTTTGCACATGTGCGGATTTGTAAATAAAATTAGAATCGTGTAATGAAAACCATCATAATTTCCAGACCAGAAAGCGCCTGCTACAAACTACAAGAAAGCTCAAAGAGACAGTAATGTCTCGCTTTGCATCAGATCCTGATCTCTTAGCCTCACACAACTCAAGTGGCACAATGAGTTTGGAACGCAACGAAAATATTCAGAAATCCTCCACACGTGGAATTCAACGGTTAGATCTTGTCTTTATTACTATTAATACTTTTCATACAAAGTTTCAACAAATTCTTCGTGTTATCCACCCTGGGTTTGGACAGGATATGACCCGTTTAAAATATTTCCATCACGTTACATAGTTTTATTTTTAATTGTAGTTGACGAAATGAGAGTCTCCACTCAGTGTGTTAAAACATAATTCTTTGTCGACGTTTCGGCTACATGCCTTTGTCATAAACAGGACGTACTGAAAACTTACATAGCTGCAAAGATACAATGTTAAAATAATCTATTAAAATAATCTATAGTATAGTATTAATAGATTATTTTAATAGATTATTTTAACATTGTATCTTTGCAGCTATGTAAGTTTTCAGTACGTCCTGTTTATGACAAAGGCATGTAGCCGAAACGTCGACAAAGAATTATGTTTTTACACACTGAGTGGAGACTCTCATTTCGTCAACTACAATTAAAAATAAATGATTGACCCACTCATAAGAGCAAAACAAGATTACCAGTACGTTACATAATTCTCAATAAATGCAATAGATTTGTAGTGTTGTAATTAGTTTAAAACTGGGTTAGATCTTTAATTAATAATTATCATTATCATTATTATTTTACGTATTATCTTATTTGATCTAATATAAAAACCTCTCAAATTCTTCAACTCTGAAGTCAAGAAATTTACCTCCAAATGCGCTATCAAATCGTTGTGGGTTCATTAGGCGATTTCCCTTATCTCAAGATGACCTGACATCTTTTGCTCATGTCGCTATAAATTCTAATAATTTTAATAATTGAAACCTGTCACATGAAAATCAGACGGTTTGAAAGATAATGATTTAGCCCTCGGTCTATCAACCGCACACGAAGAATCATACCAAATACCAACCACGCATCGCTTGCAAAGCACCAATCGCTAATCGCTATGTCTGAGCTATTTGTCTTGTGCTAATAATTATCAATTGATAAAATTCCCGTCAGATCTTCATCCCCAGTCTATCAAACATCGAAGTTTTTTGGGCGGTATAATTTTTAGTGGACGGTTATTAGATCAACGGGGTGGTTGAAGGGTTGAGATATTTAGCTGCAGACTTTCCCTCCGTTTTCATGCTCTAAGAGAGACATTGTCACCTTTGACATGCTGTTAGTAAATCTCAGCCACTCTTTACATACTGCGAATTATCGTCAAATCCGACATCTCAGGTGTCACAGTTATGTGAACGAACGGACACGAGCAGGCATGATAGCTCGACATGGTCACCAGTATGTGAATTGTAGCAAACAGAGGACGTGTGGCGAGCTCAGGAACAAATCCTCCGAACTTCAATCCAACCTCACAGAAAAGAGTGCAAGTGTAAGTGATTTCTCTTAGTTAAATGCAACTACTGAAATATTATGAATAAATAAAATAGATTCTAACATTTATGACACGCTTCGACATTAAAAGGTCACTCTTGAGAATAATCTTGGAAAAAGCAAAATTATAATATGTTTCTCTTTTTCATCTGTGACTGCAAGTTTTGTTCACAATTATAATACCTGTACAGGAAGAGAGAAACAAGAAACTGCTGGTCCTAATACAAGGAAGGAACCTAGGAACTTCTCAATCTGATATAGTCTCTGTCCATGTGGGAGGTGTGGACTGCACAGAGAACATCCAGCACTTCAGCTCTGAGAAGATCCTGGTGCGACTACCACGCAATGCTCAGCTTTCTCCAGTCTCTGTCATAACTAAATCTGGTGAGTTTTATGACAACGTGCTCTGCGATCTGTTACTGAGATGAACATTGAACAGATTGTAAGCAGATGTCAGCAAGTTTCACCAGGATTAATAGTTCTATTCCACGAGGCACTTTCATCACTGTAATATTCTGAAACTAACAACTTGCTCTCACCAGGTGGAGTGGGCCAGCAGAACGCAAAAGTTAAAGTAACATTTGAAAGTGCCAGTTCCTCTGACGAGATCAAATCACTGCGGAGGACACCATCACGTTCAGAAACAGAAGGATCACATTCGGACACGGGCAAATCTCCTGTTACTCCTTACAAACCCCCTCGAGCTGCCCCTAGGAACAGGCATCATAGGTGAATAAACGGTTTTTTAGTTTGTTTTTTAGGAGTTGTGAATTTAGTTGACTATTTTTTAAGGAATTGGGTCGTCAGTTTCATATGCCAAATCTAAAGTCCTGTAGCTTAAAACGAAATTAGAATATAGATTAAAATAGTAGTGACTAAATAATTATACATACTGTTATCGCAGGTTGTGTTGTTTGAAACAGAATAGTTGGTTGTTTCTTGTTAATTCCTGCAATGTAATAATAGAGGTTTTGTTGCTAAGTAAGGACATAGTGGACGGGGATTTATTATCTAATATAATGAATAAATAACATATGATGTTATGGGTGTTATACTGTTAGTTCGTCAACGATTGTGTAATCTTGATAAAAGTAATCATGATTGCGTGTAGACTACCAATACATACAAATGCTGAGCAATCTTGTGTTTTATAGATGTCAGGTGTAATCTTAACTCAAACACGTTAGGTAATGGTTTATTATAATGTCGGATATGTGGGAAATGTTGTCTCGAATATGATTATATGTGAACTAAAAGTAAATGTTCAAAATAAGTGTAACTTCAACAATCAAGGCAGTTGTGTGATGAATGTTTATTATCAAGCAGGTAGTAACTTAATAACTAAATGACATGTGAACGTGTACAGTTTCCTATGGAATTTAAAACCGTTTTACTAACAACATTCCCTTACAGACCAAGTGCAGTGTACAGCACAGCCAGCAGTGACAGTGGCAGTGATGGAATGTGTGTAAATACCAGGACTCTTCCCGGAAGATCATGTAACTGTAAGTTAACTAAACTTAAATCTAAACTATTTATAGAAATAATTTTAATAACTAACGTCGATAACGAACGTATTATAATATGTGCATATAAATTGCTCGAAAGTTCTAAAGAAAGACAGGTGAGGAAGATTCAACAAGATAAGACCTTATTTGTTCATAACAGGTCGTCCATCTCTTTTGCTTTAATGATTGCTCAGTCGTAAATAATCATCAGTGACTGATTCACAATTTTTATTACCAAATATGGTATCGTTCAATGAGCATTTCTTTACTGTCAGTTCACACTTCACAGTCTCCAATTTGTATTATTCAGAATCTTATAGAAAGTTACTAACTTGGCTATATTATTATATAGTGCAGTGAAGTTAATAACTTTATACGTAAACTCCACTCTCGGAACGGCACGAGCAACTATTTGGTGCCATGAAGATTAAAGTCCTGTATCTTTATTTGATATATGTGTAATGTGTATCTAAGTGTATTACCATAATATGGCACTAGTATAGTAGTACCGCTAACAATATACAATATAAATGAACGTCCTTTTTATGGTTTACATTTACCTGCTGATTACGCCCTCTGTGGCGTGAATCTGTGGCGTGAATACTATTTAGTATCTATTGGTGGTGGATAACGTTATTGGTGGGTGTTATCAAGTTCCAACAATCTTCACTGCACTCTGATCATTATTTAACACTATGACTGTTACGTTTGTGATTTTGTCACACAAAGATTAGTTCTGGTTGGCACAAACTCGCAGCTGCCCTCGTTCCATTACATTCCACATTACCTATTATAGTATTATACTATTTTGTGACGTATTTACTGTTGTTATGACGATGAGAATCACGTCAGTTAGCATCATGATGGAGGACCCTGAAACTACTCAAGAAGGTAATCGTGCCCTGAGAAGTGAGCTATCACCATGACGTATGGCAACACGCCATCTCAAGTCATGCTCACAACAGAACTGTCATCATCATCAGTCACCTGACATCTTTAATGTCTCCAGACTTACAATCACTTAACTTAAGTTCCCAGAACCATTACAGTATTACCGAGTGTTATTGGGGGTTGGTAGGGTTTCTCACGGTATATTAGAGGGGGCTAGCTGGGCTCCACTCATCTGGTGTGACGATAGGTACAGCTCATTTCATCTGTCAATCTTATAGTTTAGTGATAATAGAGGATACCTGAGAAATGTGATAAGGAAGCTGTTAAGTGTGATAAAGATAGCTGCTCCTTGTTATTTACTAGTGCCCTGACTCTCTCTCTCACATCTACAATAATACATGTGATGTGATAAGACATGTTGGTTGATGATTTGAAACATGTTAAAACAGTTCCTACACTCGCCGATATGCAGAGACCACTATCTTATGATGTCACGTGTCAAAACAAACTTGGTCCTAGATGCCGACTTATCTTGACGACATCTGTAGTATAACTCTTGAAATCTACAACGTATTGGGAAAGTGGGACCCTATGTTTCCTCCCCAAGTGCCGGACTTAGTGGCCATGTTATTACGATAGACGGTCTGACTGGCTGATGAACCGTGTTATTCAATCCGTGCATGTGTTGGACAACTTGTCTTGCTAAACTATAAGGTTCTCCTCTTAGAACAGTGTGCAATAGTGCTCTTCATGGCTGATATTTGGTATAATTGGGACCCTATTCTGCATAATAAGTGTCGGGATTGTGTCCTGAACAAAGGCTACACAAAGGTCCTCATCAGTCTACTGTTATTCTGAGCAGGGTTATTGGAATAATCACCTCCGTCATTATGACAGCTGATTCTTTAGATGATTGTGGTTTGAGCTAACGATATGCAACTGAGTGGTTTGTAAAGAGCCTGGTTTCAAAGACATGTTAAATGAATAATTTAGCAGTTTTTACATCTGAATTATAGTTTCTCTCCCTACTTAGGTGAGTTATTGTAGAAAGTATGAATATACAAATTGCATATATTACCCTGTATTGTACAATGTTGTGCCCTATGTTAGGCTATGTGCATAGTATGTGTGAACTAGGAAATAACATGCTGGGGAATTTGAGGCAGTTAGCTTTCACAATTCCCTAGTGTGCAGTCTTTCAGGAATGATACACATAAGATTTTATATTTTTAATTGAATGTATAATGTATATGCTCCAATTGAATGAACGAGATACCCAGAAAAAGCGATATAAACATAAACTGCTCCAAAATTCACTTTCAATTAAATAAATCTGCCATGATGACATCAATTTTGATAATTTTAGATAAATGAACCCAATGAAGATATCCAGAAAAGGCAATATGAACATAAACTGTTCTATATTTGTACTTTCAATTAAATAATTCTGCCATGTGCTAGACGTCAAGTTATATAATTTATATAAATGAAGATACCCAGAAAAGGCAATATAAACATAAACTGCTCATGCTCTATATATAATATTCGCTTTAAATTAAATAAATCTGCCATGATGATAGACATCTAGTTTGATATTTTTAGATAAATGAAGCTACCCAGATAAGGCTTAAACTATGCTATATTTACTTTCAATTTGATAGATCTGACATGGCAATCTTGTTCCAATAGATCTGTCAATTCAGTGCAAACTTTCACAAAAAGTTATATTTTATTGACACGTTCATGCTGTGCCACTCATGTGCTAGGTTCCTCAATAAAACATATTTACTTAACTGCTCTACAAAATGAAATGTAATAAAATATATAATTCTACTTTCATACTGCAGTGCAGCACGCGTGGAATGAAATTATGAACTATCATAAATTATTGGAACACTTCTTCCCTGGCCATGGTTTATTGAAGTTCTACTATCTCTAGTATGAAGCTGAGATCTAGCATATTATGTGTGAATCCTACTGAATCTGCTGGTCCATATTTGCTGTGCTAGGAAATTAACTTGTCGTGTGTATTTAACACGTCATCAGAAAAGAGCTGATATTTCAGTATTTTAACCTAATCTCGACCTTGTTATCTCTACTTGGTAAAGCAAATAGAAGTAAGTGTAACACCACATCATTAGAATAAACAGTATTATTACTATACCCAGTTGAGAAATGAAACCGACATTACAATATTGTAGTATCCACATATTTTGTAGAGTCTTACCGTATAATTTACCGATTGTTTTATCTGTATCGAGATTTCTGTTTCACTGCACGTTTTGAGAACGAGAAGAGTAAATCAGAGTAAAATATAAACAGTAATTTACACAGTCACAATACATTCGGGGTATACTGATCTCTATTGAATTATCAATAAAATCTCATGAAGGTTCTACTAATTACTCTAAATAATAAAATAATAACTGTTGGTAAATGGTAATGATATACAATACACATACCCCTACTACATATATTATATAATAGATAACTAGTTACACGAGAGTTGAACCTCCCAACTAACCCACCCATGTTTCAGTGATTCCGCCACCTCGACAGAGAAGTAGCTCCTCCTCCTCCCTCAAAGCCTCTGTTGAACCGGAAACTGCTTCTAATGACTCTGTTGAGGTCCCTGTCTCTTCCACTCCCTGCTCTACTCCTGATACTCCTAAACTTAGGTATGCAAACTTTAACTTCTCTATGTCACTTCTCTGTTTCTATTTGATAATACTATGAGTTTTACCCTGATGTAAAGTTCATCAATAACATAACCGGGCAACATGATCTGATATTAACTCATTCGTTCGAACCTGACTTTCAGGGTTTCTGTTGTACAGTATCCGTGTTTTCCAAGGATTCAGAGCACGTATAAACTTATCACGTGTTCTAGCACGTGTTATAAATAAACTAACCACATGTTTTACAGGAGGAACATGTCACCCCTCCTCAACGCCGGGAAGTTGTCCCCTCACCCGATCAGAAGAATATCGAACCTCTCCGACCTCCCGGTCAGAAAGTTGGAGATAGTTGCCCCGCAACCCGATCAAGATATCATAGCTCCTCCGGGGGCTTTCTCTGAGGGCTCCTCCGTTTACACTGGCAGTGGTGAGTTTTACATTACTGCACTGTATTACTGTAACATTTGTAAACTATTCTAATGCCAGATTTCCGCGCATTTTATTGGTTGATATTGAGAATATAAAGTTGGTGCTATAATTGAATGGAAATGTTGCATTTTTAGAATATAAACTTTAGTACTCTAGAAGCCATGGAATAATAGGATTGTGGTCAAGATGGTTCGGAATTCGATGTTGTACAGTTTACTAATACTGTTAAATGATTTTTAATGTTTCGGCTGCTATGTTACTCTATTGATGAATGCATTGTACTCTTAATTGATAACTGTAAAATGCATTGTAAAAGTTACATTTTCCTTAAAACTCTTTTTGTTGGAACATGTCTTAGAGTTAGATAACCCTAAAATAGAGGTTGCAGGCACTAATGTTGAAATTTGACTATTTTAGTGCATAACTAGCTGCTCAGAAATAGTTCAATTCAGCAATTCCCAGCAAGAAATTGATGACAAAGGAATGTCGAATATTATTCCTAAATTTAGCGGTGGAACAACTCTTTGAATTAGCCGAAGCGTAAAATTAGCAGTTACATTTAAAACCACATAACTATGACAAATTTGCCTGATAAGCGCTATATCTCATGACGACATTACAGAAACACGTGATTAAATCCGGACTCACTTCGAGTTCAGCACAGCTTGCAGAGAAACTTAATAGCTAATTAATTAAATCATTTAATCAGCTGACACGTGCAGCGGCCTGATTTTAGAATGCACTTTACAGTTTACACCCGGTGTTTGTAAATTGAGGTTTTTCCTGTCCGTGGCACGTGCCACGTGACATTTGGCAGCTGTCACGTGACATTTGACCCGGGTTCACTGGGGTGTGTTCTTGCTAATATTGTTTAGTTGGCATAGTGAGATGGGGCTGAAGGATATTGTGTTTCTAAAACTGGTTTATATCATTATATTTGGTGTCAGGAGTATAGATATGATCTGATATTTATTTTTAGCGCAATTTCTACTTCTTATTTGAGCCATTAGTTATTTGATCCACCATTAATAAAGTATAATTCTAATCTATGAAATCGTCAAATTTTAATTTTTAATTTTATCAGGAGGAAACGCGTTATACGATCTCCCGAAATCTGACCTTATCGAGGAAATACTGAAGTTAAGAGGAACAATAACTAATCTGACGAAAGCAGTCAGCGATCTCAGCGTCAATTAATTACGTCACAAACTCAGAATGTGACCTTGTTACGTCATAACATGACCTCGTGACGTCATATACGCCGGACATTGTTGGACGATTCTAAAATAAGCTTTGTAAAGTTAATCTTACAGAATGGAGTTGTTTTTGATTTCTAGATTTTGTTAAATTATAGATAGTAAAATCTAAGTTAAAACGTGTGATCAATAGTAAAATCATTTCAGATGAGTTCTGAACATAAACTGATCGATATAACTTGTTCAATTTTAATTGTGATCAATTTTGATGATAATTAAGATGTTGAATTTAAGTGACACACAGATTCACAGATTGTTAAATTCTCAAGCCGTGACTCATTTTCTGTTGGTTCAATATGTCATGTTCAAAATATGTATTAAAGTAATTTAAATCATGATCAAAGTTACCCTTTTTGTTTGGGTTTGTTAAGTTAATTACTCGTTTTTATTCAATATTTAAATTTAATGGATTATTTGTTGTTTTCATATTGGGAGTAGTTGATTGGTTAATTGACATAGTTAGTTAAGCGTAGACTGGATATTCTAGATAATAAAGCGTATAATCGTATAAAATAATAATATTGATTATCTCAAATGAAAATTTATCAATCAATATTTTATACGATTCAATGTTCACACTTGTGAATTCTGATAATGCGTATAATATGATTATCCAGCTTAGTTTAGTTGCAATTAACCATTCAATTAACTTCGACTGAATATTATATGCAGCGCTTAACGCTGAGCCTACATTTTCCGGTTAAAGTTTTGGATTAAATTATCAACATTGTCTAAGTTGAGAGTATTCATAACTTCGTCAACCCATTTACTATATTATTAGTGAATATATTAATTATGAAACTTAACACGGAGTAGTATAGTAATTAAATATTAATTGCTATCTCACGTGTTCAGTGGGTGAACTCAATGGTTTGTTTTCTTTTTAAATCTGAACAACAACCGTTCAACATAAATCTGAACAACAAACGTTCAAAATAATGCCATGTTATGTCATACTACAATTTTCTGTTATTTACAGGTTTTAAAAGTATTTCATGCGTTCAAAAAGGAATCGTTTTACTTTTTACATCTTATTAACCGCAGCTTATTCAGCATGAGTCAAAATTTCTAACTGATCTCTTTTAATTCAAACTTAACTTTATCAAATTTCGTTTGTCCATAAAGATTCGTCTCCCTCGACGCTAAATCCTACAGAAGTTTTAATTTTAATGTTGAAGAAACCTGATGTGGATAATTTATAATTCTCCACGCTGGCATTTATTTATAGGAAAATGTACACGTGAATCAAGTCGAATATCACGCAATGCAGGTATTCGGACTGTACTCGATCACGGCTCCCAAATGTTTCGGCAACCCATTGAAATTTAGGTGAAATCAATCCCACTGACTAAATCTTTCAATCTTCAAAGTGATAATCATCCGTAAAATAGTAATTATTATGATTGATTGATTTCAGCTGCAAAAATGTTCTTATTAAAAGTCTTGTTTTAATGAAGTGATCCGTGGACAGTTACCGAATCAGGCTCTCTCTCGCTTACTTCACTAACTTGTCCGCATGTGATTTACATAAAACAACCACCCTAAGGGTTCAGTATTGGTACTCCACCCTCCCGTTCAATCAGCTGCCTGTTTTTGGTCATGTGATACCTGACAGCCAATTATGCGAGAGCTGGAGCTCACGATCCTTCGCCGATCCACATGCTAAATTACACTACATCCTTTGTTTTTGAAACTTGTCACAATTTGAGGGAATTAAACGCAAAAACCCCTCCACCCTTAGCAACCTGGTCCTTTTCATCAGATTCACAGCCCTGCTATCACGTGAGCTATAGGCTGTGAAGTTACCATGTGACCGTTAGGAGAAGAACTATTGGTTTTAACGGAACTATCTTCATCATCCAGAGACCTTAAATACCATTGTGTATTGGTAGAACCATTGTCCAAAAGGGTAGGTAATTGTGATCTATTTACTGGGAAAATGGACAAATAATCTGCATATAAATACGGTTTATGAAATTATGCAAATCGTAGCAATCGCTGCACAATGATCACTTTTGTTGTCATCAAAAAGATGTAGTGATACTAAATGGTTCTTTGTGATTGAATCGCATACAAAATCTATCAATAGATATAATTAAGGTGCCTCGCAATGAACTCCTGCATTAAACGGTATGCTGAGTTTAGAGTATAATAAAGAGTGCGTTCTCCACATGAAAGTTAATCCAATTATTTATGATTTAGACTTCCTTTTATGATCAAGAGTCTTTGTTCTTTATTAGACAATCCAACTCAGAGCGACCCAATCCTTAATTACCCTATACCATGGTTATTGGTTTTTGCCTATTGTAAATCGACCCCTACTTAGTACTTACCACTTAATTCAGAACTATTTTTGTATATTTAAAACGGTTTTATATTTTTTGATGCAAGATCTGGCTTCCATAGTTCCATCGCTCTTAATGTAAGCCGTAATGTAAGCCGTAAGGTTCTAAAGATTGACAGGGAAGGGAATCATCTCCTGGACTTGATTGAAATACTAAGCTTATCAAATTTCAATTAGTACTGAGAGTAATATTATCAACATGCAATTTGTCAGTCCTCACACCAGACATCAATTGAGTGTTCTGCACAAAAATGTAGTGTCAAGTTGAATTGCTTCACATTGATTATCTGCATGCAATAATAAAGCACCTTATCAAAATTTATAATCCTTTGCCCACGATTTGTAGTATAGCTATGGGGTGAACCCGATCTTAAAATTTATTCCGCTTTTATTTTTATTTCCACTCTCGATTCCTTGCTAGCAGTCCGGTTAATTTAGTACCTTTAGTGGGTCTCATTTAATCATTAGCTCTAATTAAAGAACCTCTCACCCTCTCAGAAAATCCTTTGCCCACGATTTGTAGTATAGCTATGGGGTGAACCCGATCTTAAAATTTATTCCGCTTTTATTTTTATTTCCACTCTCGATTCCTTGCTAGCAGTCCGGTTAATTTAGTACCTTTAGTGGGTCTCATTTAATCATTAGCTCTAATTAAAGAACCTCTCACCCTCTCAGAAAACTCCGTTTGGAGATATTGGTTATTACGCTCTAAGTTATTAATTTTCCTTGTGTTTGAATCTTGTCACTTTTTAACTGTTTTTAGTTTTTGTTATTTTCGGTCGATTTTTGCACTTTTACACTGGGTCATCATTCATAATTTCTGGGATTGAGACGACTTATATCAGCATTAAAGGAAGAGTTTGCTTGTCTGACTTACTTCATTAGACACTTCTGGTCAAGAACTGAACAAGAACCACATTCGAAAACTGGAACATCTGAATGACTCCGCAACCCAGGAATAAACTACTCAGTTATTATCGCTCAATAATCGGTTTGGTATCGACGTTACATACTTTATTTTATTTTATTAAAAAGCTGATTTTAGAAACCAGGGAATTAAAGTTACCCTCTTAAGGCTAACATTAAATCGCTGATTTTATTTATATATATCACTTTTTTTTGTTCATTCTTTTCCTTCAAAACATTCCAGTACATTGTGCAGAAAGTTGGAGATGAAGCCGTAGTACGTACATGTAGCATTGCACTGGATCGAACTTGCAGAGTGTGGTTTCCTCCAGTCTGCGCCGCGCGCTTATATAAACATACGCGGCGCAGATCGACTGGTATGGAGGAGATTGCACTGTGTAGGCTCCGGTGTAGTGTGATATGTATGTACTACGGCTTTACAAATTTTGGAAGCATGTAGGGATATATTTCTGATACCAATCGTATATACTAAAAATACTCTAGCACAATTGTAACTGCAGTTTTACAGAACTCTAAATGCTTAATGAACACTCTTGCAGGTACCACCCGTATTCACACTCAGACCTGAGTTTAGTCATTTTCCGATACGAGATTGGGGACGGGTTCTATAAACAAACAAACAACAAACATGGGGTGAACCCAGAACCTTGATAACTATGAATATCGACTATGGGAATTTGGATCGGTAAGTTTTTAATTTTTCAACAAGAGCTTTCCACAGATTCGCCGTATACGGTGGTTGAGGAAGAAGAAATAGGTTAGTTTTTATATACAATATGTGAATTGTGAAAAAAGAAGAACCTTACAAAACCTGTGTTTGAGTAGTTGAAAAGAATACCCGGAAACTACTGTACCAAGTTTATATGAAATACACGAGGCAGTGATTTATATTACAGTATAATTCTCCAGACTGAAGAAATTTGGAATTATTTCCCGTTTTAAAGTTATTCTACAACAACATTTAGTAATTGTAGTCACGAATTGAGGTGCTTAACATGTTTTCTTCTAGACAATGCACAAGTAGAGCTCGTTAGCATACTACGCTCGATATGCTCGATCCAGCACCCTCCAGGGTTTGATACTATGATTTCCTCACGTCTCATGCGAGGGAGCCCTCAGCCACGTGATATGTGACGTCTTCATATTGTGTCTCTTGGGCAATTTGTGACGATAGACTGGAACTTGGGGGATATTTATACTGTAGGGGTGATCTTTATCCTGTAGCTCCGTAGTAGTCTTGGGATCTGAGAATATGTACAACCATAATCTTAATCCCTTGGCCTTCGTTACGGTAGATATCAGGTCTAATCTGCCAATATTAGATGAACCACGCAATGTCAGTGAGGGGGCGTTCTAGCAAAATTGTAAGAATGTCGCCACTTGAAATATCATCTTATTATAATTTCTGCTTGTGTTCCTACTATAGAAATCCAATGACACAAATTTGATTTATGTTGGCATGTTGGACGTTGGTGAAGATTTCGCCTGGACTATGTACATTTATCTACACATCAATTGGTTTCAGTTAAATTTGTCATAAAAAAAATATCAACAGACTGCAGTCTGCAACCAACTACGGTGTACCATGAAACCAGTCACCAGATTAGGTACTGCATAGTAAGGCCAGTGTATCAGCAATCAGTTCTTAAGAACCAGATTTCCCAATATACATGTATGCTTAATTTTGAGACTTAACTACTGTTATGTTAGACAAATTCGAACCTTTTATAGAGGATGCCCTGTGACGCGCATAAACAAAAAATTTGATACAAAGTCCACTTTTTCAGCAGCCACTTTGACATAAAGTCAATTCTATCGACGCGCGCGGTATCGGGCCAATCAGGGTTAATTCAAAAAATTAGAATGACTTGACGGCCGTTTTTATTTACATTGTAGAAAATTTCGACACAACCCTCAGCCAGTGGCGTAACGAAGGGCGGCGGGGAGGGGGGCGCCAAATCGTCGTTCAAATGTGGGACAATTTCGAAAACTTAACTAAAGTACTAGTTAACGGGTGATACTCGTAAAATTGATTCACGATGTCAATCCTTCGCATCTCGCCGATCTACCTACCTAACCGAAGAGAAGCATTATTTGATGCGCGCGCGACCCAGTAGTGCATCGCGCTACAACTCGTAAAATATCTGTTCCATAGGCATATATATATATAATAGTAATATTGAATATTCCAGGACCGTCGACGAGTCCAACTCGGCGCGCGTCCTGGTAGGTTGTAAATGTAAACCTACAAAGTAGTCTCACGACAATTTGTGCAATGGACGTTTGACTGCGTAGTGAATCTGTTAGTGTTAGCCTCAATTTTGCCTTAAGGAGGGAAGGTAGCCTCAATCCAACCTCACATAAGTTCCGATAAAGTATCAATAACCTTCGGGCTACAATTACAATTACAAGTTGTATAGTGGGTCTATTACATGCTCCCGTACATTAAAGTTAAATAATGCGGTCGAATTATTTATTAGCCTCATTTTGGCCTCCTACACGTACACTCAACGATTTTTGAAATGTTGAGCTTGAAGAGGATGAATCAATATTTATTGTTGACATATTACTATTAGATAGTCGCAATTCCGAACCTACTCGAAAATATACACAAAAGTATACTTGTTAGCCTCATTTCACCCTCTCAAAAGGTGGTTAGTCTCATTTTCTCCTCGAATATTTGAAGCTTAGATACCGATTAAGTATAATGCCAAGAAATTTCATGTGCAACATGGACATCAAATAAATTGTGAGCTGTTAACCTGTTTCCGTACAATGTACATTAAAGTTAAAATGCGGTCGAATTATTTATTATTATTTATAATTAATTTATTAGTCTCATTTTGGCCTCCTACAAGTAGACTCGGCGATTTCTAAAATGTTGAGCTTGAAGAGGACACATCAATATTTATTGTTAACATATTAGATAGTCACAATACCGAACCTACTCGAAAATATACACAAAAGTATACTTGTTAGCCTCATTTCACCCTCTCAAAAAGTGGTTAGCCTCATTTTCACCTCGAATATTTAAACTTAGATCTCGATCAAGTATAATCACAATGGATTATACTCGCAACTTGGAATTGGATATCATGAACGTAACAAGAGAAAGTTCTTTTTTAAAAGTGATGAGGCTAATTCGTTAGCCTCAATTGTCGGTG